GGGTGTGTAATGCAGTAAATACAGGTTTTATTGTAGCGTATTCATAGCATTTTTTCAGATATTTGTGTGTTTATTTTTTGTCTGGCCTAAATTGTGCTAGCTGATCAATTGTTTTCCGCCACCAAAATGGGGAGCGGGGGAGGCATTGGCCTCATTTGATTGTTTTCTTAATATTCATTTTTGTTAATGTCTTTAGTCTCCACTAAAATATAATTTTCTTTCCTTCTGCAGGTGAAGGCGCTGATCAGGCATCTGGATCCTAATGGTGATGGAAAAATCAATTTCAAAGAATTCTGCCATGGAGTGTTTGCTATTAAAGGTAAGAAAAGGAGGAAGAAGAAGAAGAAGAAGAGGAGGAGGAGGAGTTTGACTTCATCTAAACACAGAAACACAACAAAGAGAAACACAAAGTCCAGCTGACTCAGTTTCTCTCCCTTCTCTGCTGCTTGTACTCTGGTACTTCATGTAAATGCTGATGATGTTAAAAATAACTGCTTTACTTTTAAATCACAGCTGTGGGTTTGTAGTGTAATGGACTCCAGGCTGCAGAGACACAACCCTGTCTGGTCTGGTCTACAACAAGCAGCAGTCTGAAAAATAAAATGTTCTCTCCTCTTCCTCCTCCTCTTTCTCCTCTTCTTCTTCTTCTTCTTCTTCTTCTGCGTCTCAGGCTGTGAGGAGATAATGAAGATGACGGTGACTCCTCGCAGCGTGGCGTCCGACCATCCCTCTGTCACTGACAACGGTTACGTCTATCAGGTGAAATCACAGAAACATATTTTAAAAAAGAAGTATTAGGAATTTCAAATAATTAGTTTATAACCAGATTATTCACAGGGAGCTTTAATCATGATTAATAGAGATTATTCAACACTCCTTAAATTGACTTTTTTCTGTATCTCACTGGAACACAAATACATTGACTCAATCAACTGTATATCCATCATTTATTCTATTTTTTTTTTTTTTTATAGAATGGTGAGTCCAGGCTCCGCACCCCTATTATCATGTGCACCCGGCCTTACCCAGAATGCAACACGTGCAGCGAGGGCTGTGGTACAGACGGGGAGTGTGACATGGACAGCAGCAGTGAAAACATCAACTGCTCTGATTCCTTAAACCCCAAAAGAAAAAGCAGGTGAGTCACGTGTTTCCATGGAGATGGCGGTTTTTAACAACCGTCCAGTCAGCGTCTCCGTCCTCTGTCCTTTATTTACTGTGATGTTGTTGTTTGTGTCCGCTGTAGCCACCCTGCTGGTTCAGCATCTGCCTCCGTCATCTCTGGGGAGGAGCAGTTTGAGGACTACGGTGAAGGTGAGGACGTGGAGTTCATTTCCAGCAGCCCTTGTCCTGAAGAGGACAACCAAACAAATGGATTCTCAGACCTGGGATCCTCACTTCCCTGCAGGTCAGCACTTTTCTGTTGGTAACACAGCTGTACAGAAAAAAAACTCCTCCTTTTCTGCTCTGTGTTTCCACCAGCTTTATGGGTTTGGTTTAAGTCTGGGAAAAAGGGTAAAAATTAAGGAAGTCTGGTAATTTTGGCTGACAGAGATTACCTGATATTAGCATAATTATGTAATGCAGTTTCTGTAAGAATCATTTTTGGGTTTTTTCTCCAATAATGAAAACCTGATCATGTAATGGCTGTATTTGGCCAACAATGTGTGACCTAAAAAATGGTTTTGTGTAAGAAATATGAAGTATATACTGTATATGTATATGTGTATGAAGGTGAGAGCCACTAGATGGCAGCATTGCAACTCATTTAATTAATCTATTTTACTCATCAGGAGATTGTATGGACAATGCTGGTGCCAGCAACTCATACAGTGGTTTGTACAGATAAATAAATAAATATTACCAGGCCCTTAATAGTATTGCACTGGGGTGGGGGGGTGTATATCAGTAAATTGGATATCGACAAAATAATTAATATAGGACATTCCCTGGTAAAAAATATAGTTACTTTGCTATTGTAATAAATAGTTCTTTGTCCTTGCAGTGCGGGACAGACTCCTCAGAAGATGCAGCAGCTGTACTACAGTGAGCTGCTGGATATCTACTGTTCTCAGTGCTGTAAGAAAGTCAACCTGCTCAATGACCTGGAGGCTCGACTGCGCAACCTCAAGGCCAACAGGTACAAACACACTCACACACACACAAACCAGAAAACAGCTCACGACCTCAAGGCCAACAGGTACAAACACACACACTCACTCACACCACAGCAGTCCTGTCTACACAGAGTTTTTGACTTTTCTTCTCCTTCTTTTTCTTCTTCCAGCCCAAACAGAAAAATTTCCAGCACTGCATTTGGACGGTGGGTGAATTAAAATTATTTTATTATTATTCTACATGTGCTGTATTTTAAGCTTTGTCTTCATGCGTAATCACAGCGCCCCCTGCTGTCGTCTCCTCCCTACAGTCAGCTGTTCCATGCCAACCACAGTGTGTTTGGCTCCAGTCAGGCCAGCAGCACCGAGGACCTGTTCACAGACAGCATCGACTCCTGTGACCTGGACATCACTGAAAAAGTACAAACACTGACACAAACGCAGCCTGACGACCACAGACACCGAGGCCGAGAGCTGTAGCATAGAGATGTCATATGACGGGGGTTCCCAAAATGTGGGGCAGGTTCACCTAGGTGGTGCATAGGAAGACAAATACATTTAATTATCAATATATTTTTTCTTACATGGGGAAAATTGCACTATTTTTTTTTTGTTCGAAGAGGGAAAAAAAAGGTTTGGGGTCCAATGTCAGAAGTAAATGTGAAAAAAAAAGTTGAATTCAAAAAGTGAATTAAAAACTTTGACATTTTCCTCAGGTCAGTTATTTGGAGAAGAAGGTGACAGAACTGGAAAGTGACAGTCTGGCCAACAATGACCTGAAGTCCAAACTCAAGCAGGAAAACACTCAACTGTTTCACAGGTACATAAACACACACCAAACGCCACCAGGGGTCGCTATAGCAATATTCACCACTGTGATTTAAATTCATACCATGTAAAAATATGTAGGTTTTTGTTATTTTATCCTAATTTAAACATAAAGTACTGGTACCTACTGTCCTGTCATTTCCTGTCCAGGGTCCATGAGCTGGAGGAGCAGATGAGAGACGCCGAGACGAGGGCAGACCAGAGTCTGGAGGATGAGACCAGGAGGCACCGGGAAGTTTACAGCAAGATGAAGAAGGACAAGAACCAGAAGTTTGACATGCTCCATAACAGGTAACACCATCAGTCATCCAGCACGGAGACAATGATGGAGGTGAAATTTAAAATAAAATTTTACTGAACATCAGTCTTTATTTTTTAATTTAATAACAATATTTTTTTTGTATGACAGGGTCCAGCAGTTGGAGGATGAAAATGGGGAGATGAAGTTAAACGTGTGCAGACTCAAGTCTCAGACAGAGAAACTGGACCAGGTGAGGGATGGAGGGGTCAGGGGGTGGGGGGGTAATCACTGATGTCTGATCTTGCAAACTACGAGGTCGAGGATTGTGGCCACTTTTTTTTTTAATCACATGGTTCTGTGCAGGAGAAGCAGAGGATGACTGATAAGCTGGAGGACACCAATATGAGACTGAAGGACGAGATGGACCTCTACAGAACCATCCTGGACAAACTGTGGCACAACCGCCACGAGTTCCAGAAGGAGAAGGAGTCCATGCAGGAGGTACGGAGCTCCCTGCTCACAGAGGAACACCCGGGGGTCAAAGGTCAGTTTAGGTCAGTTCAGGTGTTTGAGACTCACAGGCGTCTCTCCCTGTGGTTCAGCTGATCGACGACCTGCGGAGGGAGGTGGAGTATCTGCAGGTGTACAAGCTGGAGATGGAGAATCCTGGCAAAGGAAAAGGTCTGTCAGAGTTGAACGCCAAGACCAGGGAGAGTGAGATGGAGCTGGAAGTGAAAAGACTGAAACAGGTACACACACACACACACACACGCACAGAGTAAAATCAATGTTTTAGTGCTTTCAGTAATGTAATACTCTGCACATATTTCTCTCTGCTGCTATTTATATGTCAATATACACTATATACTCACACGAACAAACTGTTAAATGCTGTTAGTCCTCATGTCCAGTCGAGCCAGGTTCGTCCTAAACCTGCTGATTTACCGGCAGGTTCTTCTAGATGTTGCGTATTGTATAGAGTCCATCAAACTGAGCATGTTCTCTCTGAAGGGTTTGACAGGAAGTGGGCTGTGTTTGACCTCCACAGGAGAACTACAAGCTGCGAGACCAGAACGACGACCTGAACGCTCAGATCCTCAGTCTGAGTCTGTACGAGGCCAAAAACCTCTTCTCCTGTCAGACCAAGGCCCAGTGTCTGGCTGCTGAGATCGACAACGCCTCCAGAGACGAGGTCGGTCACGTTGACTTTGTTGTTGTTTTTGTTTGTTTTTTGCTGCCATATTTAAACACATTTTTTTTGTCATTTCTTCGTCAGCTGGTGGACGCTTTGAAGGAGCAGGAGGAGATCAACCTGCGTCTGCGTCAGTACATGGACAAAATCATTCTGGCCATCCTGGACCACAACCCTTCTATCCTGGAGATTAAGTGTTAAATGTCCACCTACACACACACACACACACACACACACACACACACACACACACGTGTGTGTTGTACATCTTCACCATCACAGCAGTGATTTGTTTGTGGACAATCTTATTTATGTGTTTCATTGATCTGTGGTGGCGCTGTTGCTGTAAGCGGAGACCCACAGAGCTGATGATGGTGAACTCTGCCACCTGTGACTGACGACTGTACACGAAGGATGATTGTAACACAGATCAGTCAGCGGCAGGATGAAAACACAGACTTCAGTACAGGTTTTTATTTCCATTTGTATATTCGCACAATACCGAGTATCAGACCAACACTGCTTGAGGTTGGGTTTCAATAAATATGTCACGTGAGCTGATCCCAAACCAAAGTGGGAACGTCGGGAAGCAGGAAAAGAACTCACAGCCCATTTTATTTCCTCTCATTTACGGACGATTTCTCAATCCAGTAGGAAACAGATAGGTTGTAGGTTCGATTCCACCCTGCCCCCCTTCCAAGGTTGCATGTGTAACGCATTCTGCCAAATGATTGTGGTGAATATTGCTGTAGCGGCCCCCTAGTGGAGGTGAAGTGAACTTTGTCGGTCCAGGAGGGTCTCGTGGGAACGGTGCCAAAACCCATCCGAGTATTAATCATATATTCGCCACTGTTTGTTGCCAAAGTTGTTCACGTGATGTTGAAGAGTTGTCAACACTTCATCATCAAATGATAACAACAACAATTTTTCCAGTCAATGTTTATAAAAGTGAATACACTGTTAAAACGCCACTTATGAAGAAATGTTCTTTGCACTATTTTGAAATAAGGAGTCAGGGTGTGTGATATTTATTCAGCGTTAAAGTTGCTGAGGGGACGTTATTAAAACAGTTCCCAGAAATGACGACAAACTGTTCTACTGGTTACAACAATGGAGAACGGAGAACTAATGACCTTCATGTTCATAAAAAACGAATGTAAAACATCTTTAAATACGTTGTCATTGGCTGCAGCACTTTGGAACATTAGATTATTGTTGTTAAAACATGTAAATGTTGGTGTCATTATTGCTGCGAGAAAGAACTCATAATCTGTGGAGATATTAAAACGTCCACCTCAACAGTAGCTGCTGATGTTCTGTGTCAGTGTTTCAGCTTATTGTAAAGTCTCCACGAGAGATCGGACACATAACGAACGAACTGCGTGTTGTAGATTATAATAATCACGGTATAGCACACTGAAAGTGTCAAAGCATTTACCTTGGTAATGAGAATAAAACATTACTCTGTGTTTCAACCTGTTTGTCCACTTATGTGTCTTATGTACTGCATGATGAAATACAGCAGTGGTGATGTATTAAATTAACTTTGTCTTGGTTTAATTAATTCACGTTTCTATTCCTTTTACTACAGTTTACATGGTAAAAATGGTTACCTGGATTTTTTGTTTTTGATTTATTAATACCTATTAATACCTAATAAATACCTGGATTTTTTGTTTTTGATTTATTAAATACCTAATAAATGCTGTCATACTCTTGAAGTAAAGTCATGTCCAAACTCAAGCTCTCCTGATGTTAGTGTGTTTACGTTAATAAATATAGTTTATAATGGCGGGATGTTTAAGAATATACACAGAGAGAATGGGGAAAGTCTAGTGTTCAGTAAAAGTTGTTACTCTCCGGTCCGACAGGTGGCAGTAAGGATGTGTCCGCTTCAATATGTCTCCCACCAAAATACTCATTTCGCAGAAGAAGTGTTTTTCTCTTCGGAAGAAGATCCCACAAAGCGGCCCAATTTCTTTACAACCTGAAAAAAACTGTCTAAGAACCTGCAAAGCGACGATGTACGCCAGAACCAACACCGGCAGCACACATGGAGACTTTCCGGATCGGAACGGAGTGAACTATGTGACATCGACAGAGTCCTTCGGTCACTGCTCTCAATTGTTCTGGAAAAAGGATCCAAACGACTCCGGAGTAAGAAAGGCTGCTGCACCACCGCTAGTTAGCGGGAGCAACTCACACACGGCTCACGTCATTTTAATCTCACCGAATAAGGGGTTTAAGGAAAATAAAACACTTCACTAGAGACTCAAGCAACACTCCGGTTTACAGAACCCGCTACAGTTCTTTCATACGCCGCCACCGTCATGTTGTACGGCTCATCATGGCCTAGTTGCTCTTTAGCCTGTTAGCATATGGGGCTAAGTGGCAGGTATGAGCACCATATCAACAATACATTACGTTGTATAAACTTGGTTCTCATTGCACAATAGATGCACTCGTGTAAATGCACAACGCATACGTTCGTTGGCTCGTTTTTATGCAGCAAAACATGCACGGAGCTCATGCTAACAGCATATATCTGGCTGCGTACGGCTAGCTCACAGCAGAGCTGGACACAAACACAGCATCGCTGTTTATACAGCACGGTTTGGTAACATTTGAACCGTAAGCTGCGCAGCGGTGGGATCACCTCCCGCGCCGCCAGAGCGACCGGTCCTGCTTTATTCATGCATGTTTGTGTCCCGGTTCACTCGCGGGGCCTGTTATATTGTTAGCGAACAGCTCAAAGTAAACAGGAGCAGGCTGTCCCACAGGAAACGGCAGCGGAAGACGCCCCGCGGAGGAGTTTGAAAGAGCTCTTTGTGATGCCAGACTGTGCGCTTCATTCATGCCCGCGCTCATCTGTGCAGTGCACACACACGCACAAACCCACGCAGCAGTCTACCTTTTTAACCACTTCTGTGTTTTAAAACGAGCTGCACAACATGCCACGGAAATTCTCTCCACTGTAATTCGTGCTTCAGTTTAAATGTCAGTGTTGAGTCGCCGCGGTCAAAGGAACTTCCCTGGGAACTACTCTGAAGGACAGATGACATTTCTCTAGACTCGTTTAATTTTTCTCTTCCGCTGGAGAAAAAATATTCAGAAAATACACCATTAGACACATTTGCTTTAAATATTAATTTTATCACTCTCACATTAGAAAACTTACCGAGTAAAGTTCTGTTCTTGTTTAATAAGTTGTGTTCTGACTTTTGGCACTTAATTAAATGAACCTCCCCTTTGTAATCTTTAGAATAACTAATGAAAAAGTGCTTGTAGGAATGGTTTGTTATTGTACAAATAGTTTAGATTCTGCCGTTAGGGCTTAATATATGTGTAAATGTTTATACTAAGCACCATTCAGCAAAACAAACATAATTAGTGCGGCTTTTATGTCTGTCCAATAGCTTAACATTTTGTGTTAACAGAAAACGCATGCAAATCGTCAGAGGTGCTAAAATGCTGGCAGCTGTTTCATGAGTCACCTGTTGTTATTTTACCCAGTTTTAAAGTAACCCTCTTCTTCTGCAGCCAAGTTCGACCATAAACTGGTGCGATCAGCTCCCTTCGTCGTCAGCCGCCCTCACCAGCTCCAGTCTTTCCTCAACGTCACTGTCCAGCTCCAGCCTCTCCATGGACTCCCGAGCACCAGGGACCGGCTCGTCTGCGACGACGCACTCGACAGATGACCTGGAGGACTCGGACGAGAGGCCGTACGTCTGTGACCTCTGCACGTGTGCCTACAAGCATGCCAGCTCCCTGCTCAACCACAAGCTCACCCACAGGACAGGAGATTTCAAGTATGTCCCCGAGTCGTAGTTTAACAGTAAACAATACGAAACTGCTCATTTTTTACCAAATGTAGACAACAGTGTCCTATTAAAATCCTGGTACACTTTAAAAAAATACAATCAACAGAGAAGCCGCAGTTTTAGTCATTCTATTTTTTTTTTTACAGGCAAAGACAGAGTAGATTTAATTGTGACTTTTTTTATGAATCAAAACCTGAGATTAAAGTTGCAGCCACCAAGGATTCTGTTAAAAGATTTGTGACTAAATTATCTGTTAATTTAAACCCACAACTTGAGTCAATATTATGTCTTAAAACTTCCTGTGGTGCTGTAAAAATGTGATGCTCAAGGTGTAATATTTGCATTGAAGCAGAGCTTCACTGCTGAGGTCAGCAGGATTCCCCTGAACCTTTTCATTCTTCTCTCTCAGATGTGACTTCTGCAGCAAGCCCTACACTAACTACATGTCCCTGCGAAACCATATGCGAATCCACGGTCAGAAGCGCTACATGTGCGACCTTTGCGGGAAGGCCTTCCGGCTAGCCAGGTACCTCCGTAACCACCAGAGGATCCACGACGACGGGCCCAATCGCTTCGACTGTCCCTCCTGTTGTAAGAGCTACAGGACAATGCTGGAGCTAGCTCAGCATCGCTGCAGCGCGGCTGCGTCCAACCAGGTGAGTGTGTGTGAAAGAGTGCACTGACACCAGAACTGAGGGATAACTGATGGTTTGTGGCAGTGTTGTTGTTGTTGTTTTATTTGTAATGAAAATGCAGTGTTTTCATATTTTCTAAATAAACTTTTATCAGAGGAGATGAGCAGCTCATCCACGACCTCTACCTGCAGCCTTAACCTAATCCTTCCAGAACCAAATAATTATTTTTGTAATAAAAAAGTACTTCTACAGTTCTCATATTGACCTGTACTGTAGAGGAGTAAGACTGAGACCTTCTACATTCTTCTCCTTTGGGATCTGAGAAGGTTCTGTTTTTGTTTTTTTATCCCTTTTCACTTCTGTCCGGTGAAATGTTTGTGTTTATGTTCTCCACATTTGTAAATGATTCAGTTTTTCACAGTGTTGTTGTTGATGAACAGCAGCACACAGTGATATTAAGCTTTGATGGATTTTACGTTCTCATATTCAGAGGTGTGATTCTCTTATTGTCAGGGAAAAGGACAAAAAAACAACTCCGTTTTTTACTTACTTTACTGACCTTCAGTTCTTTTGGGCCCAGTGGAAGTCAAAGTGTTCAGTGCTGTGCTGGAAGTAACTCTTCTGTTTGTTTTTTTTGGTGGAGTAGACTGTGTTTCTTTTGTTTTGTTGTTGCCTAAAGGAGACACAGAGATAGATTTGTTGCCTTTCTTCAGCTGAGACGTCAACGTTTTATGTTGGCAATGATTCTTTCAGCCTCACTGATTCCTGAATTTGAGCTTTTCTTTTCATATGAGAAAAATCCAGATTCCCTGCCTGTGGGCGATGTGTCACAGACGCTGCTGTGATTGTGAATGTTTTTAAACAGGTCAGTCCTGATACTGTTCTTACAGCTGACTCATGTTCTCACCAACTAGTGACTAGTCTCTGAACTACAGGATGTACCGTGGGTTCAACATCGATGATATTTCGTCCTTAGTCTTGTTTCAGCGCAGCAGCTATTGTTTGTTTTGAGTTAGCATGTGCAGCTAATGGAGTTGTGCGTTCTCTGTTTCACGCTGAAGGTTTTTTTTCTCCTTAAATTTTTTTCTTTTACCTTATTTTGTCGGAGATCTGTTCTTTCTCTAAATTTATAGCGATGTCGTCATTCAGTCGTAGACACAGGTTTATGAGCTGCCTGTTAATGTCCCTCAGCCTGTGTCTTCTGGTTCATCTTGTTCTGGGTGTCAACAGTTCCTGCTCCACAGTCTTTGTCCTTGACTGAATTTAATTTCACTTTTGTTGCAGCTCACACTTTCTTTCAGTTTTCTTCTTTTCAACATTTCTACCTTTTCAATGCAGAGTATTTACCTTCATATTTTTCCGTTGTCCTTTTCTGTCACCTCAGCCGTGTCAGTTGGTTGGGTTCATCTTAGCTCGGTCTGTGGTCACAGCTGTAGCTGCTGCTGAACTTTAAAGCATCAAAGACTCCTCTTGTTATTCTGTTACATTAAAAAGGAACTAAAGTGTCCGTCAACTGTAGTTAGAATAACCTGTTACCAGGCACCAACAGAGTCTGGTTAATGTTTTTCTGGTGTTAAATGTTATAATGTGACATGTCCTAGAAATAAGAAAGTCATTTCTCCTTCGTACCATTTTAACCGTGGGGGTTTATTAAGAGGGGTCATCTAAAAACAAGCTGAAAATTCACAACTTTTTAATTTTCATCCTATTGTTGGATAAATATAATATCAATGAAACACTAATCTTTGACCTCAGGTTCTCAAACTGAAGGAAAAAAAAACTTTGCGTTGATGAAGTGACGTTTGTGTGGTGTGAAAACATCTCTTCGTTTTTGGTGAAGTCGACGTCAATATTAAACGTGTGTGTGGAGAGAGGGAGTTCTGTGGAGCTCAGTTACAGTGAGGCAGAATAATCTGACTTCATGTAAATAGAAACTGTTCCAGGGGCCGCGGACGTAGAAGAAACAACTGTCCTCAGGTTGTGTTTGTGTGGACAACGGATCACATGACCACGTCTGAATCACAGAGAAGTGCGTTACATTTATGCACCTGCGGTTACAGGTCCTGGCAGATTACATTAGTCGTGACATCGGTCCGAGGTCAGTCCAGGTCAGGTGTAGTCCAGGTCAAGGGTCAAGGTTAAATGTAGCATACAAATAAAAAAAAAAACAATTCAGTTCATTGTCCTCTCAAGTGTAGTAATCCAATTATGTGTGTTTGTGTCTTATTTGTGTTTGTGTGTGTGCCTGTGTGTGTGTGCGCGCGCTGTGGTTGGGTTCATAAGAACCGCTTCAACTGCCCGTCCTGCTTTAAGAGCTACAGAACCATGCTGGACCTGGCCCAGCACCGCTGCAGCGCCGCGGCCAAAAACCAGGTTGGTGTGAGCATGATGTGTGTGTGGATGTGTGTATCTTGTGCGTGTTGTGTGTGTGTGTGTGGGGCAGTTTAGATGAAGCCACAGGAAGAGTCAGAATCTGCAGTTGTTGTTGTTGTTGTTTTTTGTTTTAAGACTCTGATAATTTTGGAGCAGGTTCCTGTCGTTGTCCTGCTCAGGGCGTGACTGTTCAGTTAATCAATAATAATTCAACAACTAATAATATATTTTTGATAAAAAAGGTTCATCATTTGTATTTCAGTTTTGGTTTCTCTCTGTACTTGGGCCCATCAGCCTTAGTGCTAGTTATTAACTGGTTATTGTGGTTTTACCTAGAGGAAGTGAACCAGGGTTTGTTGCTGTAGTTGGTGTTGAGATGTGAGGTGAAGCCTGCAGTGGTGAAAGGTGACTTTTTTTTTTTAATTTGCACAGAAGTAAAGAACTCATTCTATATCTGGGTGTTAAAAATCTCATGATTTGGTTTCGATTCTTTAGGCCACGATTCGCTATCGAATTGATTCGCTATTGATCGAAATATTTCATTATCGGTTCAGTATTAAGTAGAAATACACAAGTAATTCAAAAGAGCGCCAGATTATTCTTCTGAATATTATTTATTTAGTTTCATGCCCATATAAACAGTCATGGTCTAAGTCAAGCTTTTTTTTGATAAATAAAATATCCTATAAAATAAAGCATCAGCTTATTAATAATGGTACTGAATATGGTGTACAAAAGTAAAAAAAAAAAATTGGGAGCGCATGAACATTGCTGAATTATTATTGAATTGGGGTTGGACGAAGAGTGAGTCTCAGCAGAGTTTGTTGTAGAAAAGAATAAATGATGCTCCAAAGGGAGTCTCAGCAGAGTTTGTTGTAGAAAAATGATGCTCCAAAGTCCGAGACCTCGACCACAGTTCTGCTGTGGACCCGGAATTTGTCACAGAATTCAATGTAAAATTTTCAGATCGTACTCTTCATCTCTGAACTAAATCATCTTCGCAGTCGCTTCTAAATAATTCCTCCAACTATGGATGAAAGTACTCTTCATCTCTGAACTAAATCATCATCGCAGTCGCTTCTATGACAGCTCCGTCTCCTCGTTTGTGGGGCTGTGGTCAGACCCACCGTCAGCATCAGTTCCACTTAGTCCGTTTGTTTCTACTCTGATCCTTTTGCTTTTTTCTTTTTTTTTTGGCTGAACTCTCTTTAATCTCAATCTTTTTCTTTCTGGTCATATTTAATCTTGGTTTCTTTAATGAAGTCTTTGTGGTTTTCTGTGTCATTTCCATCAGAACAGTAGCAGTTGTTCGGTTGTCACAAGTGTATACAGTGCCCTCTTGTGGCCGTAGATGATGTGCGGTATTTTTTATATACAAGCAGCTCAAGTCGAACTACTAGAAAAGAATAACTTCTGGTCTGGATAATACAGTTACGCCAAGTGTTTCTGAGTATTAATCTTAAATTTGAAGTAAAAAGTTCAAGTTCAGAGTAAAACAGTTGGAGAAAAAGACTGAATATCTGTGAACGTCCAGGTTATGGATATGTTTGAAAGTATAGTTATTCTAGAAGGTCCTTTAGTCAAATATGTGAGTGTATTTGTGTGTGTGTATGTTTATTTTGAATCGATCACTTCATCCTGTCACATTGAGAGATTCAAAGACAGTTTGACTGTTTGACAGCCAAGGATCAATGATGGAGGAAAACAGCAGGTCATCACATCCATCCGTCAACATCTCCTCTGTTTGGAATCTGATGTGCTTCAAGAATTACTGTCACTGAGCAACGGCCAATCAGATCTTGAAGTCACCACCGTTTTCTCCTGTCTTTTCTACCGTCCAGTCTGGCAGCCGTCGGTCCAATTTCTCCAGTAACGCCCGTCGTCAGCAGCAGCGACAGCAGCAGCAGAACAACGCTAACTCCATGATGCAACAGCAGCACGGAGGACACGGTCAGCAGGAGGCGCTGCCCTCCCACTGTGTGTCACCCATGTCTCAGGGAGGTCAAGGCAGCAACGTGGGCAGCCAGCAGGTGCCTGACCCCCACCAGGTGAGGAGTGTGGGGAGGGGCTGAAAGTGTGACGTCATTTACCGTCTCAGGAGTTCAGTCAGTAGTCACAGAGAATGGAGAGAGAGATATTTCAATCCACTATCTGTTGCTGTTCAGGAGTGCTGGCTCCCTCTAGTGACACTTCCAGGTTACTGCTTTTGTTTATATCACAGTGGGACGAACACAGACACATAATGATGGGTTTATATTTACAGATAAATCAAGATTTAACCATAGGTGGATCAATATTTATTTATTCAAATGTATATATTTTTAAATATATTTTACAGTGATTAAAGGGAGATACTGAATTAATCTCTTCAGGGTCATTTTGTGTGTGTGTCCCGGCAGGTCCGACCCAGCTCTGTGTCTTCCCAGAGTAGCCAGCAGAGCATGAGGAGCTCCTCCTCCAACAAGCACGTGTCCTCCTCCAGCGCCGCCCCGTCATCCTCCTACTCTCTGCTCCAGCCCCTGGTGCCTGAGGTAAAGGAGATGAGCTCGGGATACACTAGGCTGAGCGTCAACTCCATGGTAGGAGAGAGAACCGCCACACACCCCGCCCTCCACCCTCTGCTGGCTCGCTGCCTTCTCCCTGTCTGCCCTACTAACACCAGGACAGAGGCTCTAACCTTCCCATGAGCAGTGTGTCCACTAGGTCTCTGTCCCTGTGGAGAGCCCTAGTGGACATATTGTGTAATGATCTCTTTCTGATGACTAACTTCTTCAGATTTGGTCTGTTGTCTTTAGTTCTTCCACAGTCACAGTGCAGGGTTTTATTGACCAGAAACAGAAAGCAAAGTACGGCTGCTGAGTGTTCTCTGACCTATCTATATTACTAAAGGTCAAATTAGTGGTATACAGTGACATCTAATGGTTAAATTACAAATTTACACGCTAAACAGTAAGGCCTTGATCTTCATCATGTTCTTGTTTGATGGCCTCTAAAGCACAGGTGTCAAACGTACTCAAATTTGGCCCACGTCTTTGTCCCAGTTTTTAATTTCTGCCCACTGTGATATTGAGTTTGACACCCTTGCTCTAGTGGATCCACAGAGGTACTGCAGGACGGTAGGGTTTTTTTTTTCAGTTTTACTCCCTGTTTTAGGGTCTAGAGAACCTTGACGTTAGCCCGACTCCAGGAAAACTAGTTTAGAGCAGACGAAGGTGCAGACGAAGGTGCAGTCTCCGTGACGACTGTTGGCAGAAACAAAGACAACAGACTCTAGTCTTGGTTTGGTCTCTTGTCTCTTGATGGACTCTGGCGGGAGGACGCTGTCTGACTCTACTAACCAGGACCCTGCTGTAGTGCTGTCTGTAGACCTGGCTTTACGTCTCTCTGTCACTGACCGTCCCCTCAGCTGCTGTGGAACATCTCTGTGTCCACTCTGAAACCTGAGCTTCTCCGTTTCATCCTGACGCTGTTTGTCAACAGTCTTTGTTTTTACACGTTCACTCAATACGTGTTGATCGATGATGTCACCGTGAAGTGTGTGTGTGTGTGTTTCAATATTCATGATTGATGTGTGACTCACCTGATCCCATTCTTATCGCACTGAGAATTATATTTACATATATCCATACATATATGTAAATATATATAGACATGCACACATACATACATATATGTACAGTATATGTGTGTATATATGTATATTTATGTGTATATATTATATATCTGTTGAAAAGCAAACACATTAGAGTCAGAATATTTACAGTAAATAAACAAACACATATACAGACAGATAAGATGCAAATAATCTAAAAATATAAGACCAACATTTTAGACAAAGTGACAAAATTACTGTCAGAGAAACAATTCAAATTCAAATCACATCTTCAACCGTTTTATTAATGAATTTCCATTATTGACGTTGAAGGTAAATTTATGGATCAGACATAAACTGACCCATAAACAGATACTTTATTAGAAACACTTGTCATGACCATCAATCATGATGATGATGATGATGATGAGTTCATGTTCAGATTTTTGTTTTGTCTCCACTTCACTGTTTATTTTCTGAACATTTTTTAAACTAAAACTTTTTTTTTTCATTTATAACTTTTATAAATGTAACCTCTTTATAAACGTTCATCGCGGCTTCTTTCATGTCACTTCCTGTAATGACCGGCTCCTCTGACTCTCTCTTTTTTCTCTCTCTCCCCTGTTTCCTCCCCCCGCCTCCCCCACACCCTCACACCCACCTCCTCCCCAACAGCCGAAGCATCAGGAAGCTTTCTCTCTGGCCCCCCAGCGGCCCCTCACCACCATCAACCCCATCGGCCACGCCCTGCATCCCAACGGCGCGCCCACGCTCAAGCCCTCCCCCGTGCCACGCACCATCCAGACCATGCCGTGGGAGCAGCGCTCGCTCTACAATCAATGAGACCCCCGGCCCCTCCCACCTCACACCAACCCAGCCCTTAACGTCACATCCGCCGCCAACGCCACGCCCTCGTCATGGTCGCCTCTCCTTTGGGATGTGTGGAGGAGGGAGGACTCCGCCCCTCGCCCCGGCCCCTCCTCCTGGGACCGTTGAGTTTGGGATCAGGGGGCAGAGAACTGTTGAACTAGTTGACATTGATTACTGAGTAGTTAGGTTAAAATGTGTTGCCTTCACCTTATGTATGACCTCGGCCTTGTACTGGATATAAGTTAAACTCCGCCCCCACCCTGCCCCCCCCTCCCCTCCCTCCCCCCACTCTAGTGATGAGAATATCTATCTGTCCCATTATTAATGCCCTCCCCTTTTGCCCCATGTTAAATTACACATTCGTCCCAGGGAGTCTGAACGCTCTGACGGGGTCAAAGTTCACTTTTTGAAGAAGTCCAAACAATTTCTTTTTTTAGATGAAAAGGTTCCTGGAAAGTCCAATAGAAAATGTGTGTGTGTGTATGTGTGAGTGTATGTGTGAGTGTGGGGGGGGGTGGAATTTTTTTTTTTTTTTTGTAATAATATTTTTTTATATTTGACACCACGTCCCCACATGAAGCTGCAGGTTGGACATCTGTGTATGTGGTGCAGTGAGAGACGTCTCCATCGGTCCACCACGTCTTTTCATCTTGTATTTAACCTTTTGACCCCTGGAGCTGCGGCGAGACCACGACACAGACACGGACACGTGTGACCAGCATCAGATTGAAGAGATGGAGGGAAGGAAGGAAAAAAAAAATAAAGACAGGTTCAGGATGGGGGCGAGGGGGGGCGTCTCTGTGCTGCTGAGACGGGACGGGTCTTCATCGTAGCAGCCGCGGACACGGACACACGGCGGGTGCGACCACCTCCTCCTGACGACGCTCACTTCTCCTGAAACGTGCTCACGACCGGAGGCACGTTGTTACTGTAGTTTCACTGACCTGTCGTTGGCTGGGAATCGAACCTTCACCTCTCTGTCTCTTTGGTTTTTTTTTTTGTTTTTAAAAAAATTTTTTTTTTTGTTCCAAACTCACAGTTTACACACCTTTGACTTTGACGGCACTCGGAAAAGAGTGCTGCACAACTGTTACTGTCACTGTGTCTCCCTCTTCTCTCCCTCTCCTGTCCACCAGGTGGACGTCAGACCCCGGTCACCACTCACACGATCACAGCAGCAGACACTGGTGCCTGGAGTGTGGATGTTACACTGCTGTACATGGATGCTGCACAGTATGTGTGTGTATGGACGTACGTATGTGTGTGTGTGTGTGTGTGTGTGTGTGTGTGTTGAGCTCAGTTCCTGGTCCACTTCACTAACAGAGAAAAAAAACATGTCACTGATCCAGGAACAGTTTAAGTCCCTGTTCAGACCTGGTGTTAACGATGGTCTGGTCCCGTGAAGACAGTGTTAACGAGGCTACGTTCACACTGCAGGTCAAAGGTCGTTTGTTATGGCGTAAATCACACTGTGATTGAACAACAAATTATACACGTGTGCTGATGTGTAATAATTAATAATGATAATTAATAATTAACATTGGGGAACTTTATGGTAACCACAGGCTGCCACAGGAGGCGCCACTAGGGACATGTTCCTAGCATCTACATATATGTTAAAGTGCTGTAATGTGAACGCAAAAAAAAGAAAAAAATCCTGTTGAGCGACTAGACCTGCGGAGTGAACGTAGCCTCTGTTCTTCAACCGTGTCCCGGCTCCATCTGCTGGGCCCAGATGGAGGTTCATCCACCTGGTTTCCATCTCTGATGTCCTGTCAGATTTTAGGAGCAGAGTTTATTTTGTTTTGTTTTTTATTTTGTTTTTTTACAAAGAAAACGCTGATCCTGAACCTGTGGCTGCAGCGATGGAGTGACGACTCCGGCCACCAGGGGTCACTAGTTGGTGGGGACCAGGGTAAAATGACCTCTTGGACTCAGAAGTATCAGCACAAACTCCTGTGGTCAGCCGAGGCCTGATCCACACACGAAGGGGTTTTTTTTTTCCTGTATTATTGCCTCACAGCCAACACTACAGATCCTGACATATCCCAGAATGCACTGGGAGCTGAACCCGATTCTGCTAATTACCACGTGTTTATTGCATCAACAGGAGCAGGTCAGACATGTTTCAGAAACAAACTGCCGCTGAGACCAGCATCGAACAGACTCAAAGTCAAACCGTTACAGAGTTTAACCGTTACAGCAGGACAGAAACGTGTCCTTAAAAATATATCCTAATTTGTGAATTAAAGAAAAAGAAAAAAAACAACACCAGGTGTGAACGGGGTGTCAGTCGGAGTGACAGTCAGAACCAGGCCTCACTAGTGTTAACGCCTCATTGTCGGTAGATGTCGTTAGATCGTCCTGCTAACACGGCGCTCACTGAAATACCCACAATTCTACTGACGTATTTTTTTTTCTTCTTTTTTAAAAAAGTTGTTTCTATTTTTAATCCTTGTTTTCGTCGTTGCTTTCTCTCCTTGTAAAGTGTCTTTGAGTATTTAGAAAAGTGCTATACAAATAAAAAATGTTTTATCATGAGCTCCTTCACTGCTGCTTGTCCTCGGATCACCGAGACGCTGAAGCCGAACCTCGAGCCGGAGCCGCGGACGGATGTTTGTGTTCGACAGGGGGAGCTGCAACAGCGCTGCCGAAGAAAGGTTCTTTGGTAAGTTAAAAAAAAACACAGAAAACTTCTTCTTCACTCTCTGCTGGTGTGTTCTGGGACTGGGTTTCTTTCCGTTTGTTTGTTATTAAGAATGAAAAAAGCAACAAAGTTCCAGCACATCGTCAAGTTTAACATTTTCTCAAACACATTTGAACCAAAAAAGAAATTAGGCATTTAATGAATTTGCTCGAAGGACAGAGATAATGATGTTCATCAATTTAAATAAATGATCATTTTAGTTGGATGTTATATAAATATAAGTACATCGGTCACGTGATAACACTGATTTTCATGTCCGTAATCTGAAATATTACACAAATGTAAGTATTGCATAAGTTTTAGTGGAACATTTGGTGCTTCAACTTCAAACACTGACGGAGAACGTTTTTCAATAATAATAATAATAAACTCTCCAGACGGTAAACAAGTTACTGACAGCTAAACCAGTTAATTAATCATTAAAAAAAATCAGCCTCATAAAGAAACGTTTTTCTCAGTAATTATATTTATACCATTCCTGGCCACTTGGTGGTGCCAGATTCCCTTGAATCGCACTACATAGGATAAGGCGAAACTTTTTATGACATTTTGTTTGTTTGTTTTATAATAAAAGCGTATCAGTAGATAAACAATAATTAAAGAAGGTGGACATTTGCCAACAGACATCTTTATCTAAAGGTTATTGGGAAATAAATCAATAAACGTTTGTGCACAACTGAAACATATTTTTTCCCCATATCCATTTAGGGAATTATGTATCATTTTAAGAAAGAAAGTCCATAGAAATGTTACGACTATGTTGTGGTGATTATTTTCACACTGATAAATAACAAATTTACTGTGTGTTCATTTCTGTTCTGCCCAACATTAGGGGAGATTCGTGATCACACACTGACACAACCGTCCTCACAAGGTTGAGATATGAAGGCTGAGTGAGAATTGAACCCTGAACCTCATAGATGACCGGCAAGACTCAAACCACCGCTGCACCACAGCCCCAGGATATCATGGAAACACAATAGAAAACAGAGGTAAGACAAGGTAAACAGTGTTTTATAGACAATATTTTTTCCATCTTTTTAATTTTCATGTGGACAAAACGTAAACAAACCGATCATATTCGATTATTCCTATAATCAGACACGTGTTTATTTTTCTTTTTTGTCATTTAAACCCGTTTATTCTCAATTAGTTTGTTTTTTTCCCCGTGATAATGTCGGGTTTTCCGTCTGCAGCTCGTGTTCTCACCGTCTTCATCCGATGATAAACTCATCAACATGGTTTTATTCTCGGAGACAGAAGTCAGTTTTCATTAGAACCTCCGTGATCTCGTTCACTTCTGACCGAAGACCAAAGAGGAACCGGTAAGATCAAACTAAAACACCTCTTCAGCGCCACCTTGTTGAGCTGACAGAAACTTTTCCTGATAACAGTTCACACATCAGACAAAAATTCAATTCATTAACATTCAGACATCGATTCACGATTTAATTGATCTTTATCTCTGGGTCAGTTGTTTTGTTTGTTTGTTTTTACCTTTTCGTCATAAACCAACAGTGTTAGGGAACAGTCTTTAAATTACTAGAATGTGGAACAGTTACTGCAGTCCTACTTAACTTAGTCATTATTAACTAAAAACTTTATTTTAAAAATAAGCGTGTGTGAGTGAAAAAACGTTTGAAACTACAGTTTACAGCTGTGATGAAGGAACATTATTATTATTATTGTTATTATTATCGTATTGTTGCCGTTATTTTAGATATTAACGTTGTTGTTGTTGTTGTCAACGCCTCCGTGTCCGTGTTTTCTACGTGTCACGCCCCTCTTCCGTCTTTAATCCCTCTTTCAATTAAAAGTCTATCGATCATCAAATGTCTCGTGAACGCGCATCATAATTCAAGTTTCCCACCACAGACCGGTCCGGTCCACTCGCCTCTGCCGGGACAGATTAGACACTTTTAGAGACTTCCCCCGCGCAGGATTTTTGCGCGTGTCACCGGGAATTAATATCCACTCGCGGAGCGTGACCGCGTCTGATCTCTGCGGACGCCGGTGTCCGCGGTAAAATCGTTCGCCATTTCGTTGCGGCCGCGCGAGCTCGTGCTGAGGAGCCAGAAGGCCGCGAGGGAGGAGGCCCCGGTGTCATACACTGAATACACGCACACACTCACATGCACACGCACACTGTCACACACGGCGGGGTTTCCCTCACAGCCAATCAGGCGCAGCCTCCAGAGGTTAATAAATAAAAGCTGTGTCTACGTCACCAGGAAATGGCGTTTTGATTTACGTACAAACAAAACCCCCAGCGTTTTTATGTTTACCTTTTTTTCAACGCGACGTATCGGTAAGTGATGACGTAACACACATTAGTTGGTTTAATTAGTGTGTCGTTTATTTTATTGAAACGTATTATTGATAACCGACATTTGACACTTTCGTCACAAACTAAACTCGAGCCTCAGGACGCGAGAGAAATGTTTTAAAGGTCGTTTATCATTAGAAAAAATTTAGAAAATGTTAAAAAACATTTAAAGAATTGTTTTTTAAACAAATAATTGAATTTCAGGCCTCCTTACTGAAGGCCTCGCTGCCGTCCGCTACAGACCTATGGTGCAGTACTCAATTTGACCACATGGCGGCGGTAGTGGACCAGATTGGAACGGGAGGAAGCGCAGCCGTGGTTATAATTAACAGACTTAGAGTTGGAGGAGGAGACTTTGAGCTGTTTACTGACATTTCTTTATCGTTCCACTAGTTTGGTTTGGTTTTTTCCCTCCTTGTTGTAACATTCAGCCTTAGTTTATTATCTTTGGAAACTGAAAGGTTTTCAGGTTTTTGGCCAATGTTTGCGCCTCGTTCCTGAGTCAGAAACAAACTCACACGAACCTGAATTGATTGATTTGGACCGGCGGGAAAAAAGAAGGAGAACCGGAAAGGAGGTCTTTGATTTGAGCTGAACTGGTGCAGATGTGACGCGTTCGTGAATATTTGATCAAATCACGTCAGGTTTTCAGAGTTCTTTAACATTGAACACATCATGTGCTCGTGTTTTTTTCACTCCCCCCCCGCCCCCCCACACACACACACTCTGATCTCCATTTTGTGAGCTTTGTCCCAGCAGCAGCAGCAGACATTAAAGTGTCCACTGGGATCATTGATTTAAATGAAGTTTTATTTACAGCCTTGTTGACATGAATTTCCAACTTAATAAACAGTTCCACTCTTCAGTGTTTTTATTGTATTTTCCTCCTGTTTAAAATTATTTTTTTTATATTGAGTTTAAACTAATAATTTCAATTATTTGCAATAGAGTTGCGTCCACAGACCGTTACCATGGTGATGTTCACTGTTCACATCAGTTTTCATGATAATGTCGCTTCAACAGTCACCTCACGTTTGTCTCTCTGCAGTTTCATTCCTGATGAAAACATGTTGCTGCTGGAAGCACATCCTGTCAGCGTGACATCAGCACAGGAAATGACGCCTTCAGGCCGTAAGGTAAAAAAAAACACTGTTTTACAGCAGAGAGTCAGAAACTCTGTTCTTCATTTAGTAATTATTAGTTTCTTATTAGTTCCTCTGATTTTTTTACCAGCAACTTTTACACATTTCTAAATAATATGAATACATTTAACGTATTTTTTCATTAACTTCCAAAAGTTTCTTGCTTTGTTGATGCATTTGCTGTTTTGTTTTTAAATATATGTATATATAATTTAACAGTAGAAAAAAATCAGAAATTGTTTTCAGGACGATTGTAAAATATTTTGCCAGTCAAAAAAATGTAGATTTTTTTTAATTCAGTTTTTGAGTTCCTTCGATCCAATAGAAACTAATGATTTGAAGTCATTTCATTAACAAAGTCCTCACCTTTAATTTGGAAAAATATACCTTCACCGTGTACTCTTCAACAGCAGCAGCTTCACACACTGAAGTTCAACACCGGTGTCAGGACGTAAGAAGGTTTAAAGTTCAGGAAACAGTTTGGTTTTATCTGATGAGGTCAGTGTTTCTGCTTCAACTCACGAGGCCCAGATTTCACTTCTCGATTTGGACAAACGGCGTTCTCACAACAGGGTCAGAAAAAACAAAGATGAGAGGAGAATCATTAGAACAGAGGAATGGATCATAGAACAGAACAGAACAGGGAGGACTTCATATAGGAACATTTCACAACATGTGGGTTGAGTCATTTCCCATAATGCACATTCAAAACCATGTCGTAGGTCAGAGAAAATATTCAAACGTGTAGGAAAAAAGAATGGAATCTTTCAAATTTGACAAGTTTAACAACAGAGATTGAAGGAAATCTGCTGCCGCTTCACATTCACGCGTCAATATAGTACTCTGTATGTGGGTGTATGTGGTGTACAGTATGTACTTTGTACTTTTAACAACCTGCTGTCTGGCAATGTGCACTTTAATCTCCAGCTGCTATATGTAATGTTGGCATTGACGAAGGGCAAGGAGAGTAAGAGGAAAATAAGAGGGAGGAGAGGTACTTCCTTTAACCCTTCATTCTTCATTCACTTCTTTCAGAGGTCAAGGTCAGAAGGTCAGACACAGCTGCAGGTATCACAAAATAAAAACATGAGAAGAGCCGACGGAGAAGTCACATGATCAAACAATCGTTTTCATGACAGTGTCTGGTACACCTCCGTGTTTTTACTATCAGACAGACTACAGACAGACCACGACAACGACGACGGATTTCACCGCTCTGTGAAGTCACAAAACACGTGATCATCAGACTCAGCAGCTCCAGTCGTCCTCTCACCCAGACCGGCCGCCGTCTACGTCAGTGGTGCAGAACCGCTGGATCCTCATGGAGTCATGAAAGGGTTAACAGCTAGGTTCAACACAGCACTAA